CATTTGGATGCCAGGAAGCACTTCCTGACGGTTAGGACCCCGAGGGTGTGGAATGGGCTTCCACGAGAGGTCATTGAGGCCCCATCAGTGCGGGTGTTCAAGGATAGGCTGGACGTGCACATGGTGGGCATGTCATGAGTGAAGCCGGCTGGTGCCAGAGGTCAGACTAGATGGCCCGGGAGGTCCCTTCTGACTCCCTCTGTTTCTATGTTTCTGTGTTTCATAGAAGAAACATACAAATCCCCTGGCTTTTACTTTTCTGATAATCAGGATGGATTCAGTGAGACATATATGAAACATTCAGCCATATGATAGGCAATCATTGCTAAAACAGATGAGTATTAAGGATATATTAGCTGGATGAAGGGAGTACCACTGTCTATTAAAATCCCTTTCCCTCAAGGCTGACCTATAGCAGAGAATATATCTGAAGCATCAACTTTATCCCCACCCCCTCCCAGCACCAGCTTGGATATACCTGTATTTAAGTGTTACATCTCCAGGTATTTGCTAACATTCTTTGCTCTTTACTGGGAGTATACTCTGCTCTAAACTATGTTGATTAATGCTTTGGGTGACGGACAGCATGTGAAATCTCCTGTCTTGGAGTAGAGTAGATTACAGATTTTGTTTATTTATGTGTTTATTTTCTAGCCTCTTATTGTCCTCTTATGTTAAGTGTCTAATACTATGAAATGCAGAGTGCCATCTCTGCATTGGTCAGTTGATTTTTTTTGTTTCTGATGTTTATCTGGAAGATCTCTGGATTATGTCTTCTTTTATGTTGGGCTAGAGACAGAACAGTGCTTACAAATAAGTCACTTATGATTCTTAAATCTCTCTCCTGCTGTTGTGATGCATACATCATTTGAAATTAGCTATTACTGCTCAAGAACAAGATTACTATGTCTTGATAGCTCTCTAAAATAATCAGATCAGTTTGTCCAAAGGTCAAAGAGATGAGTAGGAATAAGGAAGAAATCGCTGATTCTTATCACAGATGCCATAGTGCTCTTACACAACTCAGATGTATTAATTCTTGAACAGAGAAAGCCATGTCCATCTCTCAGTGTGACAAATGAGTAAAAGTGTAGAACAACTCCTTTCAAGCCTGTTTGTTACACATGAATCCAAGTCTTCTTTCAAGAGCTTGGAGACCATATACATTCCCAATGATCTTCCATCCAGACAGTTTGTTCAGGGCAGCTTCAGATTAGAAGCTGGACCTGCTTTAGATGCCACTAAGTCCACCTTCTTCAGTCTGTTGGCACTGAGTTGGCTGACTGAGAATTGTAGTCTTTTCCAGAAAAAGCATCAACTTTTGACTAAAACTGTTCTGAAATTGTGTACATGGAAATGAGATTTAGGGATATCACCATATGCCATTTTTCTACATGTATCGTTGCTTGTTAATCCACCATATACACAAACATTGTGCTTGTGCAGACTGTTGATGCTACTCTGTCCCTCCTTTCTCTGCACACTGGAACAAGTGACTCTCTCTGGAACAAGTGACTCTCTAGTTTTCCAATATCTGCTTTCAGATCTGGGGCAGGGAGGGGTGTGTTTCTGCACCTAGCAAGAAAAAAGTCTCAGATTGAACAAAATGGAAACTTGTGCTTGATTAATCTAGGAAGTCTTCAGTCATGGCATGCTGAGAATAGAAGAGGGAAAGGAGCACAAGACTCATGCATACATTGGCTTAATAAGATAAGTGCATCCAGACTGAGCACATACATGGAAAAATAGCATCATATTTTATCTTTATGTTGGATTCCTGCTGCTTTGTTTAGTTGTGAAAATATCTAGGACTGGGGTAGACTACATGGTACCCTCCAGGTGTTTTGAACTACAATTCTCATAATCCCTGACCAAAGTTGGCTGAGGCTTATGGGAGCTGACCAAACCTTTTAGAAGGCATGAGTTTGCATACCCATGTTCTAAGAGATAAAGAACTGTCTTGTGTTATTTTGTTGAATGCATTTTATATCTGGACGATCAGTAGGCCATCCCATTTGATGACCAACAGAAACTCCCCGGCCTTTTCCAGGCTGCTTGCTGTGGTCTTTTTCACTGATGGAGCCTAAGCCGAAATATCATGCATCCAATGAATGCATTCATGTGCTTAGACACAGCCCTTCTTGTAGGTTCTTATGGGACTACCCCTCACCAAACTAAATTTGTGCTACTTTGTTGGAAGAGCTGAGCCATTCAATTAAAGTTGGCAGCAATTAGATATGTATATCCCAGTCTGCTTCAGTGCAAAAACCTTGGCATTATCCCCATAGGTTCTTCCTTATGAGGAAGAATGCAGAATTTCCCTTTGCCCCCTTGCTAGCCTTGCCATTTCCTGTTACACTGATTTGGGTTCGCAAGCCTGTCCCTATTTTCCCCCTGTCATGATGCTCCCATTCATTCATTTCCCCCCTTACAGAGGGAGAATGTCTGATTCTCACACTATGTGAGTCTCTCTCTCTCTCTCTCTCTCTCTCTCTCTCTCTCTCTCTCTCTCTCTCTCTCTCTCCCACACAAACTCACTCAGTGACACATTTTTCCAGCAATCCTATACATGCTTATTCAAAGGCAAGTTCCATGTTTTATAGTAGGGCTTACATACAGGTAGCTGTGTATAGAATTATAGTCTTGACTGTAGATGTGAAATATCTTGCATCATGTGCTTTCTGGCATATATTGAAAGCACATGATGCAAGATAATGATTCTGGCACAATGGTTTCCCTAATTTAATGTTTGGATTCATCACACAGTTTCATTTAAGTCATTGCACTGAAAACTTACTTAAATTCCATACAAATGGCTGGAGCTGTGCATCATATTAATATAATTTAGACTGACTTTACATTTGCCTTTCCCTTATCACAGTTGTTTAAATGTATATCCAATGCTTCAATTCTTTGGTTGTGGGGAAATGGCTCAGTCATAATGATATTATTTGACATCTGACCATGGACTTCAGTTATTTGTTCAGAAGTAACTGCAGGTAAATAGAGCATGTATCTGTGTTGATTGTAACACATTTCCTTCCTTTGGAGGAAACAACTAGGCCAGGAAATTATTATGGCATAGAGGTGAATGGGGTGGGGGTGATCCATTTCTTGGATTGCCCCGCTCTATTCTCACTGTCTCAGAAATGTAATTGTTATCAGCATTTCTTCTGGACCAGACAACTACCTGCTAATATAGGCCAGAGTGCTAATGGACAATGTACATGCGTTAACTAAAACCTTTCCACTGAGATATTTTAAGTAAGTGGGTTTCATACTATTTCCTCTGCACCTCTGGAATTCCTTGTTGAAAAGATCATTAATAAAAACATCATCAGACTTCCCTGGAAGTTGACCATTTCCATCTGTGAATTACTGAATGATGGACAGTGGTACAGAGTAAGTCCTAATATTTATAACCCCTTTGCAGTTCAGATGATATTCCACCCAATCCCTGCATTATGCTCTAGGTGTAATACAGGGATTTGGTTACGCTATAGGTTTTTTTTAATCATTTTGTAAAATAAATAGTCACATTGTAGTAGCCCTTCAGAGAATTGCATATGCCCAAGTGTGGCTGCTTTGTGCTTGCACATTTCAATAGGATGTGTGATTTACTAAGAATTATGGGACTGGTCCAGACTAAGCTAAGTATCTTTAGCTTGTATAGAAATAAGTGGGATTTGGTCAGCACTAGCTTGTCTCACTGAGACTGAAATGCAGCAGACATTGACTGGATACAAACTATGATACTGATAATAGGATTGTTAGTGGGTTCTTTCGAAACAAACCCTCTGCGAGTGGACATGTCATTTGGCTGCTTTGGCTTCCCTCCTGCATTACTCTTTGAAAGTCCTTTTCCCTGCCAACCCTCCATTTCTTGCCCCACTCCATTCTTTCAGTCTTATCTCATAAAGTTCCATGGTCTTCTTTGGCTTTATGCTTCTTTACTAATGAATGAAAACCAGGGAGAAATCCATCAAGATAATTGATTTTTAGTTATTAGTCAATTTTTAAAACCCCTAGTGGCTAAGAGCAATTTGTCAAAAGCAGTTAATTAGTCACATTAAGTTATCTGTTAGACGATTCCATAGACAATGCCGACTTCACAATAAAACTAACCCGCAATAAATCTTCCTCCTTTGCATACTTTGTTAGACAGTTAAATGAGGACCTGATGCTCATGAAAGAGATGGGATTAAGAGGATCTGTGCACAGGACAAATCTTATAGGGAGACCTGAGTGTATTGCATGGTGGCCTTCTAATAGGTTTGCTTGAATAGGATCAGATCACCATTCCATTCGCTCCTACTCTGAAATGTAGATCAAATACTAAGAAAAATGTGTGCAGAATGAGTATTGGCCATTGTACTTTGTTGCTGGGTGGAGGAACTGAAACTAGTGTGTGGGGGATTAAAATTAAAAGGTTTTTATATTTGACAAAGTCATACTGTTGCCCTGTACTCCACAGGCAGTCACCATGCTTTGTGACCCTTTTAGGTATGAAAAGTCATGACCTATTTTGTCCCCAAACCTCCAAGAGCTTACCCATGGGAAAAAGTGGCTTTCAGGCTTAAAAAGATTTCCGTTATCTGGTCTGTAGGAAGAAGACGTCCTGGATTCAGTTCCCCAGATAGGCCTTGCACTGGGCAAAAAAGGGCCACACAGGAAGGGCCACGAGTCACTGGTGGGCTACATGTTTTGCAGCTGACATGTCCAAGTATAGTCCTTCGCATCTCTTCACAGGGCTCAGCCCTTCTCTACCGCAGACCCTAGAGAGCCAGTGAAGAACATATTGCGTTCGATGCACCAGTGACCTGGTTCAGTATGACGTAACTATCTAAGTAGCATGAGCTGACTTTTCTAGCATTTTCTCTATGTGCAATGTGAGGTGGCTGCTGCAATGGCAGAAGAGGAACGTCATGAGAGTTTTCGAAGAGTTGCAGTATTACATGAAACAAGAGTGACCGATCTGTTGTCTCTTTCTCTTTCTGCAGCAAGAGACGAGAATGTAGCCACCTTCCGTGGTTCCGAATACCTGTGCTATGACCTCTCCCAGAACCCCATTCAAAGCAGCAGTGATGAGATCACGCTCTCCTTCAAGACATGGCAGCGCAACGGGCTGATCCTGCACACGGGCAAGTCGGCTGATTACGTCAACTTGGCTCTGAAAGATGGTGCGGTCTCGTTGATCATTAACCTGGGGTCCGGAGCTTTTGAGGCCATTGTGGAGCCAGTCAGTGGCAAATTTAATGACAACCAGTGGCACGACGTTAAAGTGACACGGAACCTGCGGCAGGTAATGGGGAAAGAGAGAGAATGCTGGGAAGGCTCTTTTCTAGTGAATGAACGCTGGGGGTAGATGGGCAGTTCGAAGGCAGCTGCTAGACACAGAGCAACTTGGGGTGGGTGCACCTCAGCATCTGGACCCTAACCTTGCACAGGAAAGCAGGCGCACATGAATTTATTGTAGTCTAGCTTCATTGCAATATCTTCATTTCCACTTAATAATTTTCTGTCTTTTTCTTTCCTCCCCTGATTTGATTTAACAATACGATTCTGTGACTTAACTTTACTTTCATCTCCCTTTTCCTTTGCTCTTTTCCCCCTCCTTTTCTTTCTTTTTTATTATTTCCCTAATTACATTTCAATCTTATCAGTAATATTCTTGTTGCATTTAATTACAGTAGGAATGGAGACTATTTTCTGCAGCCGCTTTATCCTCTCCCTTTTTCTCCTTTATGTCCTGTTAATTGATTTAACCATTTCCATGTCGTCTTTGCTCTAATTCTGTAAAGGACCCAGTCCTGTTTGGATGTTCTCTTGCACAAAGCCTGTTACAATGAATGGTCTTTAAGCGAGATCACTTCAAGAAGGCTTGTGTGGAAGAACTTCTGAGTGGACTAGGCTCATGGTAGACTTTGTTTCTGCCTTTTCTCCCCTTTTGCGCATGAGTTACTTACTTTGACTTTATGCTCCTGTCACTTAACTGGACATACTTTGTCTAGATCTCCTAATTTCCTTGCTTTGGTTTTCGTTATGGAATCAATATTATGGCTGTTTTTGCCTCTGCTCACTTTTCCCTGTGAGGACGGAAACAGCAACAGCAACAGCAACAACAGAAGGACTTAGGACTTAGTCAAGGCCACCTTGGAGGGGTCTCTTTCCTACCATGTCCTACCTGAGTTTCTTTAATGTTGCCCCTTTCAAATCCCATCTGCTGCTTCTCTATAGACAGATAATGTTCTCACTTAGACATTCATCCTTAAAATATTGCAACTCCTCATAAAATGTAAATATGAATATTTAATAAGCAAGATAAATGTTAAAAACCTTGCTTCTGAAAGCTGGTGAAATATATCTGGTCACTTGAATCCATCTGCAGCATGAAAGATGAACCTTATATCATGTATGTAAACGATGTGGGGTCTTGGTGGTCTGTAAATAGTGTAAATATCTTGTAAGCCAAGATTCTTCTACATTAATACTTTAAATCGTGTGTGTGTGTGTGTGTGTGTGTGTGTGTGTGTGTGTGTGTTCTAGATTGCTAGCATTCAGACCTACACTTGTTGATGTAAGCAAAACATAGCTTGCTTATTTTGCTTGCTCATATGAATGTTAACAACAATCAGTTTATACAACTTTACAGGCTGAAAAAGATGCCTTCAGGGAACATTTACACTAATAGAAAGTAATAATCCTCATGCCTAAGGACATTAGCTAATCACAGTTGGGGGCCAGGAAAACCATTTTTCCCCACGGGCATTTCCTTGCATAATTAGGTTCAATTTCCAGAGCTTTCCAGTATCTGCAGTCCTTAAGCAAAATCAGCAGCTGACTTCTCATTTCTCTTAAGAAACATTTGATCTGCAGGTTCTAGGATGCCTGGATTTCTCTTACACTGGTTTTGTGTGTGCATGGGCCCATGCTTGAGACACTGTTGAATGATCCAGTGCTCTAAATGTAATAAATATAATGATCTTACCTGCAGCAGTGTTTAATGTTTTGGAATATATTTCTGGATGAACAGCTTGTAAAGCTGATTTACTTTGCAATTCATAGTGAGCAGTAGCCCTGTTTTTAAAGACAAAATGAACAGAGAATGTATAATTGACTGTGAAATATACTTTTTACGCCTTCCTTCTTTAATATAAGAAATTGGAAAGAGAATATCCAGACTTCAAAGAAGGCTATACTGGGTGTAAGGAGTGGCTCAGCGAACACAGCATCTTGTGGCTGGCTCAGATGTGTGTTCTGTGTCCACCTTCTAGGAGGCTTTTGCTGTCTTCCTGGACGTGCTGATCAAAGCAAGCAGGCAAGCAGACTGACAAGCAAGCAAGCAAGCAAGGAAGGTCTGTCTAGTGAAGAAGTGATCAGTGCTGTGCTGAGTGTATAAGCTAGAAACAGGACACAGATACACTGCAAGATCTTCCAGGAAACTTTGGAAGAAGAACAGATTCTACAGAAGCACAGGGAGCTAAATAATTGCTGTATTTCCTGCCATCTCCTCCCATAAATCTAGCCATTTGGTCAGCTTTGGAATGTATTCACTGAGTGTATGACCTACTTGCTTCTGTCTTTCATTATTATACTTTTATTCTTCCCCTCCCTACTACCACTTAGTACACTATTAGCCAGTGCTATACATAGTGGTGGGGAGTTCCACAAGCAACCTTAGAGGCATAGTGCTGGTGCAGATATTACTTTTGTTGTTAAATCACATATTGCTTGTGCTACTTACAGTATCTTGTGTGAGAATACCACAATTGTTTTTATTTTTTCAAGTACACTCAAGATCTTACATTACAATATTGTCCCTTCTTATCCTTACTGAAGCTGATCCTTACTCACATGGAGTACTTCTTTTTCTTACATTTTCATGAGTGCCACAGGCAAAAGTGCAGGCTGCTTTTTTCACAATGCTCTTGATTTGCCAAAGGAAGTTGAGATTGTTTCTTCATTGTCCTTTGTCCCTTCCTTAACCGTCTATAAATCTGTCCGTTTGCCATTTTGCTGATTGTAGGTTATTAGGCCAATATTTTCCCTTCTTCTCAAAGCACTAAGAAGAAAATTTCCATGAAGTTTCTTGAAGGGATAGACACATTTCTCATTTTAGTTAGTTTCACTTAGGTTGTCATTTTTCTAATGTTAAGTTGGTTCCATCTTGATTCCCTACTTAGGGAAATTAGCGGGCATTTTTGTATGCATTTTTTCAAATGTACTTATTTTAATTCACTGAATGAACTCTTTCTGCATGCATTTTTGCAATGAGATGCATTTGTGCACATTTTTGAACTCTATTATATGACAACATGAAGTAATACCACGATACAACTCACTATAACTCATCTTGGAGCAAGAAACTGCTTTTCTGTTATTTGCAGAGCTAGTAGAATATCACAGTACAAAGCGGAACAGTTTTAATAATGTATTGACCATCAAAAATTATATTGAGTTTAATTTTAGAGCATGATTTCCCTTCACAACTTATATGCTTCCCCCTTCCATTCATCTGTGTATTTTAGTTGTTCTGCTTTTGGCTACATCCTCTACCAATTTGCTCAGCATCAGAATTAGACTCAGTGGTGTGAAGATTTCTGATTACCTTTACAATCTTTTAATTAGATTTACTTATTAGCTTCCATTTTAGTCTTATGGTGTGGAGACTTGGAAGAGGCAAGCTACATGCCAGAGCAAGTGTCCAGTGATGCCATGTCTGAGTTCTAATAATGCCACAAACCTAGTGTAGAAATTTGTGCCCAAATTTCTTTTGTGCAGTCTTTTGAGTATAATGAATCCTTAAAATTGTTGCCTGAAAATAGCAGTTTAGATGATGTTCTATTCATATTATTTCATGAATGCAGATACTGAGAATTCTCTGGGCTCTTTTGATATATTCCTGCCACCCAGAAGATTCAGCTTATATCTTGCAGGACCAGTGACCACATGAATCCTCTAAAAGATGTCTTTTAATTTATGAAGTTTTTGCTATCTATTTAGGTAGGAACTTCTCAGAACCATTCCCTGCTTCCTTACAGTGATTTTACCTTTAACTTCCCACAGTTCAAGAATACAGGAACTTGCCATATCCTGAAAGAGACCCTTGGTCCATCTAGTCCAATATTGTCAGCCCTGACTGGCAGGTGCTTACTGGGAACTGAGACACCATTTTTTTTCCTGTCCTGCCTGGAGATGGCTGGAACTGAAACGGGGACCTTTTGCATGCCAAGCAGGAGCTCTGCCACAGCTTTAGCCCTTCCTTGGGTGTTCTTGGGTTTCTTACATTTTGATAATCTCAAATTTCATAAAGGATGCCATATTCAAAAAGATTTTTTTTTAAAGTGTGCTTTCTGTTCCAGGGCTACAGCTCTTTCTTTCTGTAGGTCTGATGTTTCTGTGTGTAAGCAAAATGGTGGCTTGTTTTCTTGCCAGGTTCAGCTCAAAGTGACACAGGAGGGCTGTAACTGAAGGCAATGTTTTTCTATTTCCACTGGATCAAGTACAGATGTAAATTTCCTTCCTTATGCAGTGGATGGATCTAACGATGCCATTTTATTCAGGCATCCTCATCTGTCCAGCAAAGGACTGTCAGCCTCAAAATATAATTTCAAACTACAATTTATATTTGCTCATTTTTTCATGATGCTATAGACCTTCTTTTTCTTTTGCTCCTTCTTTTTATTGTTTTAGTTTTGTCTTACATTTTCAAAATGACTGCTCCCTGAAATTCTGTCTCTGATGTGTTGACCATTTTGCTTAATGGTGCATATTATTTTTCTGGGAATGAGTGAGAACTGGCCTGAAATGACAGGCCATGTCCAAAGGAATTTTAATCATTTTCGCCTGCCTGAGTTGCCAGTTCAAAATGAGAGGCAGAGAACACTGGCAATTAGAATTATAACTGGAGATCAGTTGCTGTTGTTTTAAACACCTTTCTCATTTTCTGGTCAGGCAGAGACATAAAGCCCGTGGATGGGCACAGCTCTCAATGGATTGTACCACTTCAGGTTTCTTGTGGGAGTTCAGTGCTTCTCTATGAAGAAAAAGTTCCTAGAAAATTAGCACATTGGGTTCTTTGTTAGCTTAAAGCTTTCTCCCTGACACGTTTGTTTTCTAGGTGTGGGGAGATTTCTATGTGAGTACTTTCTATTATATTATTTCTGCATCTGCAGTCTGAAACGGTACATCCATGAAGTGTTTCACCATGTGATTCTTGGATATGTATAGAGTTGCTTGTAGGAAACCTCAGATGTTACCATTTGTGCTTGATTTAGTTCTTGGGTTGTCACTGCTTGTGTCACAATTAATCTATCTTACTGTTGTTTTAATGAAAACTGTATTTTTAGAAAATGGAAAGCTTTTGTGTGTGGCAGATGTGAGATGGCCGATCTATTTCACCAGCATTCTCAGAAAGGAGATATTTAAGTAAAACAATGTGTCCCGCTCCAGGCCAGACACTAACACTTCATAATCTTTGTCAACACATTTGCTCAGCTGCTGCTGCTTATGATTATTATATTTCCCCTTTCCCCTCATTTATTAAGCGGAGGGCAAGAATACTTCTGACATACATGTGATCAGAGGATGTTGAAAGTATTAATTTTCTTAATCAAAAGTGAAATAAAATGGCATTATATTGCCATTGCTCCATCCCTGTTTCAAACGTATAATTGTTCAACAACACCACTAGCATGTTGTGCTAGCGTAAGTGATCTCTAGGGCAATGCCAATGCTGGCATGCGTGGTTGTGGGGGAAATGCTGTTTGTCTTGCAACAGAGGTTGCCTCTCCTATTGCAGCACGATTTATATTAATGATCGTATGAAATAGGATACTGCCTGTCTATTAAAATTCTGTTGTTGTTGTTGCATTTGTGCCCAACCCTTTGAGAAAAGGGTGAAGGGAATATGAAGCAGAAAACTGCCATTTCCAAAAGTGAGGCAGCCCAAGAAGTTTTTCATTAATTAGTCACTCCTATAAGCTACTTCCATTTTAATGATTGCATTGGACATGTAAAAATTGAGAAACTGCTACAAGAGGCAAGTGTTTCCTTCAAAATAATTATGCAGACATACTAACAATCTAGAGGTAATTAAAGGGGCTAAGCATTTTTATTTTGGGGGATTCCTCTAAAGTGGACATGTGCCCTTTCCCCAAAATTGATAGTATTTCTGTCAGAGTCCTGGGTTCTGGACTGCAAGCCTACCAGTGAAAATAGAAGTTTGCCTTTCCTTCCCCCCAAAGGACATGTTAAAGTCTATCAACCTTCTTCCCTTCATTCCAAAATACCTGATGCAAGCAGTCATCACGCCTTCCACAAATAGGCAATCTTCTCCCTACCCTCCAGAGTACCACAGGTGAGCTACATGTCGTTTCTGTTAGTCCAGCCTCTCATACGCTGTATGTCTTTCCTGAGAGCCACCAGTCCAACTGCTTTAAAGAGAAAAATGGATGTTGGGGGACAGGAAGGACAACCCCCAGGGAGCCGTCCAGCAACAGCCTGCACCCAAGAGATACATTCGGTTGGTTAGAACAACTGAACAACACACGAGTGTAGCAATGACTGCAGTTACTATAAGGAAAGGGAGTGGTCTGGGCAGTGGGATGGAACATGGTTGGAGCTGCTCATGATGGTATATCTTTATTTCTGTGGGGTGGAGGGGTATGGATGGGAAATACACTTTTAATGGGCTTTTGGAAAGTAAGTATTGCTTATATACTTTAGTTTTGAGATAGCTTTGGGGAGCGGGGATTGTTACTAAAATTTCTCAAGGTGGGGTGGACAAGAACACCATAAGGAGAATGGGAAGGGTAGACAGCTCCCTTCCTCCTAACAATCTATATGGCATGGTTTCCCAGACAGTCCTGCTCATATTGTCCTCTTTCTCACTGTGTGTGTCGGGCGCCCCACGCCTTTTTTTGAAAGACTAACACTAGACCATTCATGCAATGTGTCATTTTTACTAACCGACTAATGTACTAACACCCTAACGACTCATCTTTGCTTTTAGTTATTTTAATTAACAATCGTTCTGTTCACAATTTTTTAATTTCCTTTCTTCCCCCTTTTCCGCAAAGCACTCAGGCATTGGACACGCTATGGTAAACAAACTACATTGTCTGGTAGATATCATTCTTATTGTCTCTTTTTTTGGGTTTGCCGTGTGTTACCTGCCTTTACCTCTCCATCCCCCACCACCCTATTTTCCCTTCCTCTTTATACTTACCTCTCCCCTCTTTGATTTCTCTATTGATTTTGCTGTAAACACCTTTTCGTCCTATTTCTTTCTTTCTTTAAAAAACCTTTAACAACAACAGAAAAACAACAAGAAGCAAACAAACAAATACAACAGTTCTGGAAATGGGGTTTCATCATCTCTTTCATTGGCTTCTTCACTTTATCTAGTTTTATATATACACACACACAAATATACGTATACATACATACATAAGTATGTATGTATGTATATCCCCTTATTCCCACCATGGTATTTTGCGCATTCTTTTTTTTTTTCTTCTTCTTCCAAGTTTTCTTTCTTTCATGCTCTGTCTTTTTGCTTCTCTGTTTCATTGGAATTTTCTGAAGGAGTTTAGCTCAACAACCATGTCAGGGCCTATAGTTTGTTGTGGTGAGGCCGTTCTTTCCCTCTTCATCTCTTTGTTGTGGCAACAGCTGTTGTAGGCAAAACTGGCCCGAGCTTTCCTCTTCTTCCCCATGTCATTCTAACCTATGTCTCTGCCACCTTCCTCTACACATTCTCTCTCTTGTTCTCTCTTCTCTCTGACCTATCTGCCACGGCCAAAAGGAGCTCAGCCAGTTGTTTGTTTCAGTATGCACTCTGCATGGCATGTCCGCATCTGGTTAAGACCCTCCTCTTCTCCCAACCCACCGTGCTGTGTCTCAGTCTCTATTTTCCCTATCTATTTTCCAAGCCACGACTATAACCGACTGCACTTCATGTTCACTACCTTTCCCCCACCACACCCCACCTCCCCCTCCGTCTCCCTTCACCCTCCATGTGTTATGGGCTTTGGATATGTTTTTAAAGATTTCCCTATTTTCTGTTAAGGTTTGGACGGGTTTTTCTTCTACTCTAGTTTAGCTTTAACTTTTGTTTTTTTAATGACTGCATGCAAGTGTGAAAATCTCTCTCTCTCCTCCTCCTTCTCTCTCTCTCTCTCTCTCTCTCTCTCTCTCTCTCTCTCTCTCTCTCTCTCAATTTTTTATTCTGTTCTTCTGGGTGCTGAATATGACTGGCATGGGCGTGTCGAGGTATGGTGTATGTGTACACTTTCCACTTCTCTCTCTCTCTCTTTGAACTTTCATCTTTTGCTCCTCACACTTGCTGGTGTGTGGCTGACCTTTATCTTTTCGTTTTATATTCTTCTTTTTAAATTTTATCTCTCTTTCATATATATATATATATGAGAATTTTATTTTTTACTTCTTTTTTCCCTTTACGTTGCAGTGCTGGGTGGTGGGTGTGTGTCTCTGTAGGTACATAGCATGCTCATCCATAATGTATTGAAAGTGAGCTCCCCTCCCCTTCCCCTCCATCCCTCCCTTCCCTGAATGCATGATCGTCAGTGTGCTGTAAGCAGAAAAAAATCAGCAAAATCAAATATATCAGCTTCGTCTTCATTAGTGTCTGTACTAACGATTGTAACTAACAATAAACACTACCGATAACAAGCAATTAATCATAAAATCAGCTCAGCTGCTCTCTCTTTTCCAAGAACAGCTCCATTTTCTGGCCTGGTCTAATGGAAACCATCATGACAGATAGAGGAGCTCTCTTTGACTTTAGTAGTGTTACTGAACTGACAATGAGGTAACTAAGAACTGAAGGGAAGGAGCAAAAAGCAGACCAGAAAATGGAATTGGATAAACAAACTCAGCAAAACTTGTACTAAAAGTTGCGTAAAACATAGGGGAGATGATTTGCTCTTCTAAGAACAGTAAGGTCATTGCTGGGAATTTTGTTTTTCTTTTCCTTCTTTTTTGTTTTGTCCATTGTGTCCTTCAAACAGGTGACAATCTCTGTGGATGGAATCCTCACTACCACAGGCTACACACAAGAGGACTATACCATGCTAGGGTCAGATGACTTCTTCTACGTGGGTGGGAGCCCCAGTACTGCGGATTTACCTGGTTCTCCTATCAGCAATAATTTCATGGGCTGCCTCAAAGAGGTAAATGTTCCAATCTGCATTTGCATTGATCTTCTTCAACTAATTTTTCTGGATTTTCCTTACTGAGTATTGCATCTGTTTTAACAGTGTACTTCTTAACAGCATGCCTGTCCTTGCACAGCCAAAGTGCAACTGGTAAAGAGTAAAGCTGAGTGGAATGCAAGCAAGCCATGACAGATGGAAGTAGCAGAAAGTGATCTCCCCAGAAATGGCTTGCTTTATGTTGAGCAGAAGAATTGGAGCAGGAAGCATTTCACTAAGCTATTCCTGGGGGAACAGAAATTCTCCAATAGTTACTCAGGGATAGGGCTCAGCGCTGGCAGTTTTTATGTTGGCTCCCACTGCAAATAGCACCAGGAGCAAATGCATTGGCAGCCACCTTTTGGTATCTTCCATAAACACCCCAGACTTGGGTGTTGCAAAAAATATTAACATTCTCTTCTTTATTTTATTTGATTTATTTTATTTATTAAAAGCTTTTCTAGCTTCATTGAAAGTCTAATGACTTCACTTCTGCTGCTGTGTGTCTGAGAAAAGGGGCTCAGAAATGTATGCAGAAAAAAAACTTTTGAGAAAAGTTTAACTCAGCTCTGTCTGATACACTAACTGTTGACAGCTGTAGCAGACTTTAGGAGAGAAAGGAAGCTTAGGACAGAAGCACAGGTGCATTGCTAGGACAAAGAAAAATGCTGCAGATCGACATAGCAGGCAGCAGACCACTGGGAATAGGAACAACATCAACAAAACTTAAGCCAGAGGAAGGAGGAAGAGAACAAATTTATATAAGAAATAAAGGTAAGCACATGATTCATTTAGAGAAAGAAAAATAAAAGAAAAAGGAAGTACTGAAGAAATTGATAGATAAGACGCCCTTGTTTGGGAAACAGCAGTTTTCTCAAGTTAAAAAAGAATTAATTTAACTAGGAGAAAAATGTGAAAGTGTGTGCAAAATTAGTAATTTTATAAGGAAAGAAGTGTTGACAGCACAGGCTAAATTAAAAAAAGGAAAAAAATTGCATTGTTTCTTTTTCTACAGTTTTTTCCTATTTTCTGAGAATATACTGTTAGCCCTCTCAGTATGGGGGATGAGAAGAACTCTATTAAAAATACAGAATATAAAGCATACCTGACTTCCCCTAAAAGGGGCAACTTGTATAGCAAAAGCAGTGAGAAAAGGGGGCTGAGAGAAGGTAGGGGCAGTTGAAATGTGAAAATGCCATTCAGTTGCTTTCAGTTACCCTCTGGTACTAACGACCACTATCATAAATGTGGGAAGAGGAAAATAATTTGTGGAAAAATATGTGCATGTTTTGAAAATGGATTAAACATGTTGCAGGGGGGGGGGAAGTATCCATAGCAGAACAGAAACCTCACCCAGAAGACTCCTTCATAACTCTGTACCTGATTGCTTACAAGTACTATCTCCTACCTTATCATCCCCTGAACTTAGCTGACAGGAACCCTCTTCAAACTATTGTGAGCAAGCGGTTTACTCCCTTTGCACATTCAAGGCAACACACCGTTTCTTTGCTCTCTATTCACCAAAGTATACCCAATAAATCACCACAGAATGTATCTCTGAACATGCAGTCTGTTGAACCCTCTCTAAACAGCTACTTCTGAAAAGTGCATGCCCCTCTTCTTCCTAACAAAAACATTAACTGGTACAGAATGCTACCTTTAAATGTTGATGTGTGTCAGTGCTAGGCTCATATGTCCCTCTTATACAGCCTACCACTTTATTTCCAAGTGTAATTCAAGACCTCTAAAGGCCTAGGCAGTGTGGGACCTGGCTTCTTCAGCTATCGCCTCCTACATTAATTCTTCCCATCCTTTATGATCAGCTCTTGCAGCTCTTTTGGAAGTGTAATTGCCTTCTGAGATTCAGACCCTTCTGAGAAACCCTTCTGAGATTCTCCCTGGTGGTGCCCTCTTTTTGGAACTCCCTGCCCCGAGAGGTTCTTTCTCTCTCTGAATATACCTCTAGCAAGTGAAAACATTTCTTTACTGTTGTTTTTTAACTTAACCTACTTCTGTTGGGACCAACCTCTTGATGCTTTTTGGGCACAATCTAGTTGGAATCTGTGTAACAATCCGAACTCATACCCTGCAGTCTCTTCTCCTCCCTGCTGGCTAGAATGTCTCCATTTCCCCCTCCCATTGATTAAAGCGTACTTCTGCATACGTCTGCTTTAAAAGGGGATTGGCATCACAGTTCTATGGCTTTTGGTCAAGAGAGCCACCAAATTTTTTGGAGTCTTAGCTCTGGGAAAGAGCTCTAAGATATTTGCCGGGAATCCATGCTCCAAACATCCTCCTCTCTCCTCAGGGAGCCAGCATAGAAAGAACTCTGCCCACTTGTTCTCTGAAAGCACATGGAAGAAAGGTTAGGGATGTTCTACAGAGGAAGGGAGTGAGAGAGGCTGCACCACCAAGATATGACGTATCTTTCATCAGATGCATGTAATCCTCTGAGTCCAGAGGGTATTGGCCATCTCCACAGACTGTGAGCTAAACAAATTAATGGATGGGAAGGCTATCAATGGCTACTAGCCATGCTGGCAGTGTGCTCTCTCCACATCATAGACTATATGTCTCTGTAGATCAGCTGCTGAAGAGCATGAGGAAGAGGGTGCTGTTGTCCATATGTGCTTCCAGGGAGTGTCCCACAGGCATCTGATTGGCCACTGTGGGAACACAATGCTGGATTAGATGGATCCTTAGTCTTCTTATGGCCTTGTGTTCTGACATTCCAGGCTGGGCTATCTGGAGTGCACTGGCTATTTACTTATTTTTTTAAATCTTCCATCCCAGGTTTTCAAGCTGGGAACAAGGTAATGCCTATTTGGCCCTCAGAATGCAAACCAGGGATCTCACCCCTTCAGAAACCATCTTGGTCATGAACTGTTCGGGCAGTGTTAGGCAAACTGCTGCTCCTTCAGCCTTGGACTTTGTCTCCTCCCAGTCTGCAGTACAGATGGTGATATCACTGCCCTACTTTGTACTAAGGAGTACTTATATAATATAGCCGAAGAACCTTGAACACTTGAAATGCATTATGTAACCATTTTAAGTAGTATGGTTAATAATGCTTAGGTCATGACTGGATCTTCACAGAAATTGAGAATCTGACAGATAGCTTCTTTCCACTGTTTTATTATTATATATTATATAATTAAATTGCTTGTGTGTCACATTTGTTTTTTTTTTAAATGTTATCTTGCAGTTCAGAATTTATTTTTAATTTGCATTTTATTCTTTCTTTAGAGCACCTTTGTTTGACAAAAAGGCAGGATATAAATTAAATAATAAATAAACTCATAAACTGAGTATTCCTAATGAACTAAACCTCCTTAATATATTTAACCTGTGATCTAGCTAGCTGGCAGATAGGAAGGAAGTGGGAGAATGACTTGTGCCAGTTCAGCCTTGTGAATGCTGCTCCTTGAATGTTATTTTGTGTTGGGAAAATAAAAAATGAAGTGAGTACTGCAGATGGAGGGGGAGCATTAAAAATGCTGCTCCTTACCAGCAGGATGAACTGTGTAGTCCACGCAATCACTCCTCATCAGTCCCTCTCTTTGTTACAACTAAAAACTTAGCAGGGACTCAACCAGGTCTGAGGGAGCCCTGGGGAATGGACTCTCCAGTGTCACCCTCCAGCAAGACCCTGGTGCCCCCTTCAGTTTTACCAGGGGGTGGAGGGGATGGGCAGAGGCATGGTCAGCAGTGCAGTCCTGGAACCCGGGACTCCTTCATCCAGGCACCGTAAAGCCAAGTGCTGGGTGAATTCACTGCAACTGCTGTTGCCATCTTCATCATACCCATCGGCCCTGGGCTGTACCTTTGGTGTGGCTGCACCCATATCAGAAGTGGGCTCAGAACTACTGAGAATGGTGAAGACAGTGGCAGCTGCAGCTCCCTAACTCAGCACTTCTTATAGCATGGCCGGAGTCACAGTGACCATTCTCCACCATCCCTCTCCTTCCAAGCGGACCAGGACAAAGTCTTTCTAAGTGAAAGGCTTTATTATGTTAAAGTTGACCAGTTGCTCTGGCTTTGTGATACAAAAGAACAGCATTCCATAAGTCACTAAGAAAGAGACACAGCACAGTTAGGATGGTGGCCATTTGGGAAGTGAGCCTTCGCAGTAGGAAGCTCGTTCCAAACTGAGCACCCCTTCCCCCTTTCAAACTGAAAAAAGTGAACTACATATACCTTCAGGAAAAATCCACCTGCTTAAAGGCTCATCATCTAGAGTAGTGGTTTTCAGCCTTTGCATAGCTGGGAACTGGCAAAAACAGGAAAACACCATACACATAATACAGTATTCTGTGTATTCGTTTCCAAACACATTACCAAAAAAAAAAAAGAAAAAAAGAAAAAAAGAAAATTCTCCAAAGCAATCAGAAACTGAGCAACAAAACATGCCAAGAAAAGAGCAAAATACTGAAATCAGTGCAGTGTGGTTCCCCGCTGGCTACCACTGAGTTGTCTCTCCCTTCCCTGGCTCCCCCAGCTGGACCGGCGCACCCCCCATGAGCACAATGCCAACTGAGGAAGAGGTGGTAGAGAACAGCCAGCCCCTCCACTGGTCCACAGCAAGTGGGATGTGTTCCCCCACAGACTGGAAGAAATCTCCCACGGACTGGCACTGGTCCATGGACTGGTGGTTGAAAACCACTGGTCTAGAGCACCTGATGCTTCTTAGCTGCTCTGCCTTCTTAATCTGATAACATGTCTTTTGGGTTAATGAGGCTAGGCCCACCCCACTCCACTTTGGGATGCTCACCAAACTTTCCCACAGAATTTGAGACTCTGGCTTCTGTCTGGGTCCACTGGCCCTGATATTTCAGGTGCAGATTCCGACCCTCTCCCCTTAGTCTGACTCAGAATCTGTACCTACAGCCTTTGAAGGCTCTTTTATAAGAAGAGTAGATCCAATCTCTACAAGAGTGGCCTATGAAAAAAAGTACACACTTTGAAACAGAAAGGATGGC